ACCAATATAATAATGTCACGTGAAATGCGATTATAAATAGTTTATTTATTAATTATTCAATATGCAAAAATCTTTTTCCCGGTGATAGTGATTAACATATAGTTGTGATTATAAAAAGGGTAAATAAATATTATATTTTTGGAACATTAAAATTAAGTGATTATAGACAGGATGTGATTATAAACAGGGTGATTATAGACAGGTCTGACTGTATTGTTGTCTGATGCCAAGAGTTCTATGAAAGCACATGTAAATGGAATTTTCATACCATTTCACTTGGGGATCTACTTTGCAAGACATATAGTTAGTTTTACGCCTGGTGATCTCGAAATTGTGAGTCCCTCAGCCTTTCGTGATCTGTTTATCTATCAAAGAAAAAAATATTTCAGGTGAAGCATCCTTGCTTGAAAAGAATACATTCTGGAATAATCTAAAATTATCTTCCATATATCCAGAACCGTTTTTAGTGGATCTGTAAATGGATTGCGAATTAACATATATAATATATCACACAGGCCTATCTAGTGATTAACCATAATTATATAACCTTATACATCAAATACAAACATTTTATACATGCAAAATTAATGACCGATAACTCAAGCCGAGACACGGCTCATTCCCAATATGTTGATGCTTTATTATTTATAAATAAAAAATGTTGCCGAAGCAACAGTCTAATACATAAAAAATGCACAGCTATATAATAAAATATTTCTATTTATGCTAAAGACTATCAAGCTTCGCATTAACATCATGATCATCGCCACAACCTATTACCTGGGCTCCTTCTTTAAGAGTTCTAAAATCGTTCAGAATTAATGGAGAACTTTTTTTGATGTTCTTGTCATAATCTGTATAGTCATAATCCAATTGATTTTCAACTTGTTCTAACTTTTTTTTCAAATTCTTCTGTAAATAATAAAAATGAACCATTATAAATAATAATTTTACGGTATCAAAGTTATATGAGCCTTAATCACTTACTAGGCTCATTTTTTAACTTAATCGTATATTTTGAAAGACTCTTTGCAGGACCACCCTTTATTTCAAAGCTACGAAATTCTTTCATTATAAAATTGAGGAAATTGTCACCTCAGATTCTTTCTTTTTCTAATATATCTAAATCTTCTTTTATGAGATACAATTCTTCTTCACTTTCTAAGAATTTGATAAGTTTTTCTATATCATAACCTTGAAATTCAGTCAAAGTAATAGTGGTCATTTTTTGAGCGGGAGTTGAAGAATTTTCTTCATATATATGTAAGCCCATTCTTGAAGATAATATATAGCCGTATTTATAATTCAATTTTAAAAGCATCCCCTTTTTCATGACAAACCTGTTATACACTAAATAATCCGTTAATTACTGCAGTTAATGATATATATTCCCTTTTGGTATAGCAGTCTCTACGCAAGATCCAGAATTGTAAATCCATCAGTCTTTCACAACATATGTTTTTATCGGCACTATTTCCTTATAAAGAGACTCTTATGTTGCTCTTTACATTTTTCTCATAATTGTTCAGGAAAGAAAATAAAGAATAAAGATTAATATGTTTTTTCGAATATAATATGCGAAAATTAATATATTGCATAAGACCTGACTGATGATCCACTTATTTTTCTGTCACATAATCTGTGACTTAGCAAAAAATCTTTCGAGCTGATGATCACTGTCTGGGTTAATAATCAGTATTTCAGACACAAATTTGAATATATGTTAGCTAGAGATAAACACAATCATGACAAGTAATACTAATAATATTTCTGATCAAATCAATGCTCAATTATATGATGACCTACATGAAGAGCTTTTATATGAATTACTTTTATATAAGAAGAAAGATATAATAGCTATTCAGGAAAAACTCAGTATGGCAGTTTTAGAGAGACCATCTATTAATGACAATACAAATCAAACAGCATTGAATCAAAGCAAGAAAGGAAAAACACTTGAAGATTCATTTGGGCTGTTGTTTGATTTGGTGAAGGAATTAAAACTAATACAGGAGAAAATTGATATCTGTGGTCACCCCATCCTTACAATATTGCATCAAAATATACAAGATCTTATGAATATAACATTTGAGGAAATGCCACTTGGGGAAATTTATCATTTACTTTTATATTTAGAACGGGATATAAGCACAATTCAAGATCTTCTTGATATTGATGGTTATACTAATCAAGAAATAAGTGAAATAGAAGCTGATAAAAATGCAATAGGATATCTTTATATATCCAAATTTAACCCTGAAAAACAGTCCCGTAATTTCCGAAGAGCACTCCTCAAGAATTGCACAATATTTTCGTAAAAAATTCAGCTGGCATAGACCAGTGCACATGTCTAGTATAAGTTAGTTAATCTATATTTTTTTGTCGTACAGGAGTAACCTAACCAATTCTTCCAAGCTGATGATCACCGCTCCAGATCAGTTAGATCGGTAGAGTTCTACTATTTTGCTTGATCGTTGAGTAATACTACCGAATAATCCCTTAGTGCTTGTCTGATTATAGCTATAGTGGAGTGATCGACACCAGAGTCCATTGTCATAGATATATTGGAATTAAGTTGCTGGTATAACTGAGATTATTATCAACACTATGCCGGATGTTATATATTCATCTTTTCACTTGATCTATTACAGCTCAATGCGTTTCCATAAAATAGGAGTATCACATTTATATCACAATCGGGAAACAAATAGAGCAGGATAGAGGTATTTATCTATTGCTAAAAAATGTGATTCTGCACCAATGATCACCGCTCTGAACTATTAGTTGGACTGGATTTAACTTTGATATGGAAGGATCACAAAATTATCGTCTATTGTTAGTATCAAATTACACATATTTAAGCGTACACTATTTTCTTGCATCTATGGTGAGTCAAAAAGTATTTCAGGAAATTGATCAGGCCAATCTGGTCCAGTAACTATAAATTCAGTGGGTATGATTTTATGCTTCTCACCATCATTTAAGATAATACATAGATTAACCTTCTTAATGTGAAATAAGACTCATCTAGAAACCCGTATACTCTAGAAATACTATTGTCTTTTGCATATGCTATTTTCACAATTTTTTCACTAATGAAATTTGCATTAGCGCCTATGTCAATCATAAATCAAAAATCTGTGAGAATTATCCTTTTGGGCTATTCAAGATTCACTTCTCTTTCCCATATGTCATTTATACCGCTAGCATGTTTTAGATCTGGAAGATACTTTAAAATAAATGATATCAACTCTGGCAGAAGAAGCTCAAGTAAATTCGATTCATGCATTTTATATGATAGAAGAATTTTCAATTGGAAAATATGGTTAGTTATAGCGCGAAGTGATAACTAGTTAAATCAGACTTTTTGAATCAGATATCTTCTTGGCTTCGCCTTATTGTCAGATTTTTTCTTCGCGCATATTATTTTGCTTAGATCCACCTTCTTTTCTGATGCGCGTGATCAGGATTAAATTCCTCAGATGAACTAGACTCAGACGAAGTGTTTATGGATTTTTTACTACAATTGCAATGTTTTATAGTAAATAGTTTGTCTACATTATCATCCAGCCACTTTACACGTTCTTCTAGTGGTTTAACCCTCTTTTTAAGCTTTCTATGCTGAGAACAATAATGATTCAGCCTTTTTGTTAGTGCTTTATTTCTCCAGAAAGCGTACTATATACTTCTGCATTCTGCTCATTTAGTCCAAATACCTGGGCTAATATCTTCGTATATCTAATAACTTCCTGCTCACTAAATGTATCGGATGAATGCTTTTGATTGGTTACCATTTTTATGATATTTTATATATGCTAGATCTTAGGCGAATGAAAAAATAAAATCAATAAATGATATCAGACTGATTTATCAGTCCTCCTGACCCATTCCCTCTAGGATCCTCTCTAACCTATATATGTGATTAGTTTTCATCGAAGAGCATGAATGGGTTTGCTTGATCGTAAGGCATTCCACGAGGTCTGTAATTTATTATAGTATACCTTTGCGATGGCGCAGTGTTATTTTTAGGACTATGTCGAAGTGCTTGACTAGCAATAGTATTAGCTTTCGATAGATTCCTAATCCCACTCGCTACAACTGCAAATACAGCTCTTAAATTACGTAAGGAACTAGGAAGTAATGGCTTATCAGTTTCAGGAAGAAATTCAGCTTTTTTTAGAAACCTACTTAAGATTCCAGTTTCAGGCGTCTCTGGGTCTCCTAACTGTCTAGAAAATATTGCTTCCTGAATCTATGTAAGCAATTGCTTTGCCCGTTTCTCGTTCTTTTCAAGTGATCTAAATACTTGAGAAATATTCTGTTGACCTCAGTTTTTTACGTATCCTGTTACACCTCCATTAGATATACACAAATTTTTAATTTCAGCTGGACGGATACAGAGCATAATCATTACATTAGCTAGGGCCTGTTTGTCAGGTATATTAGATACATTATACGAATCTAGTCTCTTCTTAACTGATTCTAAAGAGAAGTAGTCCAGATAATAAATTCCTTCATCTTCGCATAATAAACTCTTCTTCTTTTAGATTTTATTCAATAAAGTGGTCATCTCTGGAATCTTCGTAGCTTTGATTATTGCCTCTAGAGCATTAAGCTTCTGCAATCCCATTCGGAGCCTACTGAGACTAGATTTGCAGGTGACTGGATTAGGGGATGTCTCAGCTAATGCTTTAGCTATAACTTTTACTTCTTTTTCACCAAGACTGTTCCGCATAATATGCTGAACAGTTTCTCTAATAGTTTCTCCTTCTGGGATAATATCAGATACTTAGCAAGTGCTTTAGCACAGCATATATTCACTTCCGCTTCTGTCCCTCCTTCTTTGAGGGTTACTTGACTTTTAGTTTGACCAGTTCTTTGAGAAGGTATCAACGCAAATGCTTGTTCTTTACTAAAGTTATATCCTTTTCGAAGACGATCGCGAGTCTGATGCCTTTCTCTCTATCACCTGGTAAGAGCTCAAGTATTTCTGGCGCATACTGGCTAAGCTCTTCAAGACTCATTTCATTGGTGAGTTCGTGGTCTATAACGAACTTGGTTGTAATAGCAGACATGTTGTAGTAAATAGACTGTGGTGGTAGTTAGATTAATTTGTGGTATTCAGATTATATATTGTGGAATAAAGTTCAGTTCAAAAAAAATATTCTGATAATTATTTACTATGCGAATGGTCCCACTCATGATCGATGAAAATAATAAAGGGCTGAAAGATAGGAAAAATAATATAACTTACGCAGGGTAGTTTACTTTGGTAAATACTGAGCGGGAGATGGTTTACATTGATTTGAAAATTGCGTGTAGATAGGATATGCGAAAAAAAATACATAGTCATGGAACTGCCATTCCAAGGCTATGAATGATCTAAGACTGAAATGTTATACTAGTAATATTCAGTAAAATGTTCGTACTAGAGCTAATATGTGCTCCGGTTCTAAAACATTTGTTTTGACAAATGCATCGTATAAAGCACCTGGGTTACCTTTAGATAACGCTAAATTTGGGTGATAGAAGTATTTCATGAGTACGTTATTCCTCCAAGCTTTCGTCTCTTCATGCTTCCAGCATAATTTTAATAGTTGGCATAAAGTGAAATTATGCCAATTAGCTTTGAGTAAAATTTCCAATAGACTTATTTTTTCATTAATCACCATTAGCAAACTTTTCTCTGATGCAATAGCCCAAATATGATAGGAGATGAAGGAAAATTATCTTCTTAATATTGACATTTCGTGTAAAGACGGAATTAAAAGCCTTTCTTCTCTTCAATACATGTAGCCTTCAAGTAGCAATTACGATATACTGGCCTATTTATAATGATCATGCGATTAGTTTTGGGATTATATATTTTTCTTTCAGCTTAGCGTTTGCGAACTTCTGTTAGTTGATCTAATGTATCCATAGCGTTAGTATAAAAAGTTATTTATAACTTATCTTAATACCGAATAATTTAAATACAATTTTTATTACGAAATTAAAAGTAAAAAAGGTTTTTATATCCTAAAATACTTACATGGATCATGTTACTTGTCCGTATATCAAGAGAAATAGTTCCATTTGTGGGAGAGTCTGCACTCATTTAACTGGCTGTGCAAGGCACTGAAAAAAGACCATGCCTTGTTTGTGGATTTCCTACTGATACTGATTCAGGATATTGTGCCAAATATTGTTCCAAATATTCTGCAAAGTTTTATGCACTGAATTATCGAATGAGGCAGAAGTGTGGGGCTGAGGCCTTTCAATCCAGAACCCCTT